TCGTTACATTCATGATAACTTTGTACTAACGATAATAAGCATACCATGATGATAATCCATTGCACTGGATAAGACTTGATCATAAACAGGATCTAAAAATTTCTTGGCTTCATCTATAATATCTGACCAGCCAATTCCTTCCGACTTCCAGCGTCCTTTACAAGCAACTCCAACAGTAAGAACTTTGGGTTCCACAGGAGATTGTAATTTGAATATAATATCAGGACTATGAGAAGTAGCGTCCACTGGAATGTAAACAGTCTCTAAATAAAGTGTCTCTCGAATAATCTTATTCCATTCAGTACTGGCAAAAGTTCTTCGACTCTTGTTCGATTCATTTCTTGTTTCTCTAGAACTAACAACAGACTTGATATAGTGAATAGGTGATATTGTACTGATTGGAAGTTTCATTTGTTTCCATATCGGAGACATTTGACACAACAATTCCCTCAACTCATTTCGATTCTTTGAAGACAACATCAAAACTAGTCGTAAAGCAACAATTCCTTCAAATACACGACACTTTGAATAGAAGAAACAATCTACTGGTTCGACATCGAGTGATCCAAGAAGTATCTTTTCCAAAGAAGATATGGAAGGGTCGTTCTTGAAGATTACAACAAATACTTTCGGAATTAGGACTTGAAAAGTATTTTCGTCAATAGGATATCGATATAATCCCATTTCAGTGACTGCATCATATAAAAAGGACTCCGAGGTCAATCTATCATCTACTTGAAACGGTATACGATAAAGAGCCATCATCAAAAGTAAATCAAAAACACTTTTTCTATCTTCGTCCAAATTCAATATTCGTTCCATAAATGGTTCAGCACAAATTATTCGGAAATCGTAGTCATTCATACAAGTCAAACATTCTTCTTTCGATATAAAAGGCTTATTTCTCATTTCCACATAATTCAAAAGCATATTCACTGCACGAGTCAACAAACCAGGAACTCCACCTGTACATTCCAATAACGAATCTGCCAATTCATTTACTGAAAATGAAGAACTACATAAGACATTACAAACCGGTTCTTGAGTAGGTGTTTCAAGAAGAGTCTTTTCAAGGAATTCAACGATACTGGAAGCGTCCAAAGGTGATAAAGGGATAAAATGTAATATAACTCTTGATAGCCCAAAAGCCACATCATTCTTAATACTTAAACCCTTGCTTTTCCCAACAACTATAAAAAACAAGTCGGGTTCTTTGCACAATTGACTAATGATACCGAAAAAGTCGTTGTAAGGTCGAACCACACCTTTGTCATTCTTCTCCAGTTCAAAAAGGGTTCCCTTTGTATCCAACACACCAACTTCGTCAAATGCCAACAAAAGATATTGATCAGAAGGAATGTTTAGTATTTCTCGTATTTTTTGAACTAGGTTGTCGGGTTCTATGTTTCAGTTTTTTGAAGGCTTCTTTCTTTTCTGGATTTCGGCAGACCTGCTTGCGAGCAGGCAGCCTTTATTAACAAATAGTAGACTGCCCACTTTAGGTTTCGTTCTTTCGGTTCTGTGGGCTCCAACTTCCTCAAATCCACAAAGAGCAATCGAAGCCCTTTTCAGCTTCTCCAAAAAGGTTCTTCTCGAAGGGTCTGAAGCAAACTTCGACAGGGAAGTTTCACCAAACCTTTGCACCAACTCCAAATAGGTTCGGGCAAAGGTCGTTTTGCCTGAGCCGAAGATGTGAGGGGCGAATGGTATGGTCAAGCGATAGTTGCAACTACTTGTTACACCCCTGAGTTGCTTTCGGCCTTTATGAAGATCATACAATTCTTTTGTCACTCGAACAACATCTCTTTCACGATCTACCACAATAGACTCAAAGTTGTCCACAGCTTTCCACTTTTCATCCAAACTCGCCATCGCCAAAGTGAAATTAAACAATCTTTTGTTTATTTCGGAGTACAAATATAAATAAATGAACGATTGACTGTTTGTCGGTCACAACAACAACAAGGAAAACAGTAAAGGATACCAATCCAACTTCTTCTCTTTATCAACTGATGACTATGTCATACCTTTTATGGCTTGGACTGAGATGACTTGAACTATGGAAGAACGATCAATATGGCTTTTTCCGCTATCGATATTCTTATTCTCGTATGCTAATATAATGACAACTCTCATAGGGTACAAGGAGTATTGGAAGGAAGCCAATGTTTATTTCACAAGTTTTTTATGCTCTTTGAGAGTATAAAGCTATTGAACATGGCCCATTCTCACATAGATAAGAAAGTTTCTTTCAGAATTTTCGAGAGTAGTCATGAGAGTTCCGAGCAATATAGATTGTTCATGAAGATTTTGTTCCATAGACGTCTCTCTCTAGATTTTCTGTATTTTATGGAATAGTTTTTACGTCACTTTTGCTTCATTTCGAAACACGGAACTAGTGTATGAACCAAGTCATTCTCTTGTACGGTCTATTCAAAAGCTCCAGTTGAAATATTATTATTTAGTAGAAATGCAGAAACCCACAAGCACAGCACTGCTTTATTTTCAGCAATCATCAAATTCCTTTCTTACGATATCATGACAAGTAGCAGCTTATCACTAAAGCTACAAAAGTTGATGATAGCAATAGACAAACCAAAACAAATGTGCAAAGAAGGATCCAAAATATCGCGTGGTGTTATCAAATCTCAGAAACAACATTGACTCACACAAGTGTATCATCAATACTCAATTTCTGTAAGAGTCAATAACTCCTGTTTCTTTCTCCTCTGAAAATAGTGGCATTTGATATTGTGGATTCTGCTAAGAGGAGAAAAGATATTTTTCAAGAAAAATTCAATTCAATCGAATTGAGTCTATTCTATCGATTCTCTTCTCGTTTTTCACGTTTGAATCATAGTTGAATTCCTTCTCCTCAATAGTCGACTATACAGTTGAGGTGCTTTTGAAGGTAAACATGACTGTTTATGTTTAAAGGCTTTTGCTGCATCCTCTTGTACGGTAAACTTTGTAAAAACCACAACTTTTAAAGATATACAAGAAAGCAAACTATAAAGAATACAAAGCTGCTTTAGGAAAGATATAACTCCAAGAGGGCTATTATCTCTTCCAATATAAAAAAAAGTAAAACTTTTAAAAGCTCAGCATATTCAAAGAACGATTTGTCCAGATGAGTCCTACTATTCTTCTTCCACTCTCAACCATCAGATCATTGAATAAGTGAGTCACTATACAAAAGTTCCTTGCGTTAGGCACGTGAAAGAAGACTCTTGCGAAGTATAACCTGATGGGTACACTAGCAGAGGCTTCCTTTTGGATATGGTAACA